GAGGAGTCTACTGTCTCTTCTCTATCTCATAAAGAATGACCAAAGGACAAAGGACACAAACTTAAGGACCATTCCAAAGGCCCATTTTTTTGACTATTATTAAATTTTTGGTTTAGCAGCCGCGAGACTCAAACCAAAGGCAGTCTTTATGTGCAAGAGCATAAAATAAAGTTTAATGTAGGCTCATCGTATTACTATTATGAAGAATAAAACTGTAGGTCCTTCAATTCTCAAGACAAAGCCATATTTTTTGTTCTATATTTTAATGCTAAACCACTGATGTCTCAGCAGGTGATGTAGTCTTCTTAATTTCTTCTAACCGGACTTCTGTTTCTCATTACTATCATTGGCTTACTTAAGGCTCCTACCTGAGACATTTTCAGCACAAATGCAAAATTTGTGAAATTGAAATATATTCAGGAGCTATAATCATTCTTCAATGTATGACCAGTAATGGCCAAGTAATGAAACAGATCCTCAAACAATTAGCCTTAAAAATAGTCATATGTTTTTTAAAAAAAAAAAAAAAAGTCCTATGTTACTGGGATGCAATTTGTGAATGTGCAGGTTGTAAAAATTAGTGATATTTGGTATTTTGGCCCTAAGAAAAATTTAAGTAAATGAAGTTATCAAAATCTAAGTACTTCAATCCATTTTGAAAATAACAACTATAAATAATGCATAGAATTCACACAATATATCAAAATGAATTCCCTTCTGGACTTCCCTATTTCTGTCAGTTCTTTTTTCACAACAGTTCTGACTCTGCAATCTGCTCGCTCTCCACCCCACCCACCACCACCCTCCTGGTTTACACGGCCTCACCCCCTGTGGAGTGTGACTCCATGCCTAATACTCAGAATCTGTAGTTGAGTCGCCTGAATTCAGAGCTCCAGTCTGCCTCTTACCTGTTAACCTTGCTCATGTTAGGTAACTTTCCCTAGTCTTCATTTCTTATCATCAACTGGAGATAATCAATAGTATCTACCCATAGGATCTTTGTAAACAAATGAAACCTGTGTATCACAACACCTGATACAGGAAAAAGGTATCAAAAATATATATTATTGTGTATTGTACGTGTAGTCGGGTGGTTCATGCTTGATGAGTCTTTGTTGGCATTTTTGTCTTCAATCTCTGTCTGTTCCAATCCTATGGGCATTTTTGCTTACTCGCCTCTACAAATCCATATGGATTTTTAGGCCATTAGCAGGTGCAGCAGAGACAAGGGCCACAGGCCGCCATCTTGGGCCATCTCATCCTCCCTGGAAACACAGACATGAATCATCGAGGACTCAAGCCGACAATAGGGGGCAATAGTTGTCAAGGTAGAGCTGAGATCCTAACCCACCACCTTGCCTGACTGTCTCTGGCCCTAGCTCGGTCCTTGGACAGGATTGTGCCTCTTAATTGACTTCACAACATCAGGCCCAGACGTCACATCACCATATTACCTGTTCTTAATGAAGACTCACTAAATAGTCATTTTATTTATTTATTTATTTTTATTTAAACATATTTTTAATTTGTACAAATGTATGGCGTGCATGTGCAATTTTGTTACTATGCACAGATTGCCTAGTATCAAGAGAGGGCTTTTAGGGTATCTACTCACCTGAATAATGTAGACTGTTCCCAATAACTAATTTCTCATCACCACCCCCCTCAACTCCTCACCCAACTAGTCATTTCAGAATTGATTAGAACCTGAAGCAGTCTACACAGAACTGTAAACCAATGCATATTACAACCCTTCCTGAGTAAGCGTTTCTTCTATTTTATTTATGCTTCTAATAAAGCCATTATGGCCAAGTGTGGTGCTCAGCCTATAATTTCAGCACACTGGGAGGCCAAGGAGAGGGAGGATCACTTGGAGGCCAAGGATTCGAGACCAGTCTGGGCATATAGCAAGATCCCATCTCTACGAAAAACAAGAAAAAAAAAAAAAAACTGGCAGGCATGGTGTGCTGCCTGTCAGTCCCAGCTACTTGGGAGGCTGATGGGGGAGGATCACTTGATCTTAGGAGTTTGAGGCTGCACTGAGCTATGATCAAGCCACTGGTACTCCAACCAGGCAACAGAGAAAAAACTGCTCTCAAAAAAAAAAAAGTGAAATAAAAATAAAATAAGCCATTTCCCCAAAAGATAGTGTCATAGATTGAAGAGCCAAAATGTGTGCCAGAGATTCTCCTGGCCCTCTTTATTTTAGGAGGATGAGGAGACTTGTGCTGCAATAAGGTTATGATTCTTTGGCATCACGCAGTAATTAGCCAGGAAAGTCCTCTTGGTGGTTGTGCCACATACAGACCTGTATCTTCCATGATGGTTACACGCGAAAGTGGATGTCTTGTATGAAAATTCTCACTCCTTTTACAGGACAGTGGAATATATTGAATAGAATAAGTTCCAATCTTATCTTTAGTCCCGCTTCTGTTTACTGTTCTTGTTTTTAAATGGATTTACAAAGCTCTTTACAGAGGCCTCAAGTTATACTACCTGGTTATTGTAGTATTTCCCATTATGCTATTTTCATTCTTAAAGTTATAACAACCATTTTGCCTTATAAAATATATTAAATATTTTTACATAAGCTGCATAATATTTTTTACATAGGGAGGTATTATCACAGTATTATGGTGGGTGAAAAGAGTTGTAGAATAATATTATAGTTTGATCTCATATCCATTTGTTTTTGCATAATATAAAATCTAGGAGATTAATCACCAGAGAATGTCAACACTGGTTATTTCTAGAGGGTAAGATTGCAGCGGATTTTTCCTTTTGTTTTATTCTAATAAATTCATATATTTGTTCAATTAGCTCATCATTGAATATATTTATATTTTAAAGTTTAAGTAAACATAAAATATACCTAAGCAGTTTTAGACCCCTTCTCTTCTCATTAATCTTTTTATTTTTAATTAACAGGATGAAAAATTATAAATTAAAATTTAATTTAAATTATAAATATTTATGGTGTACCACTTGATGTTTACTATGTATATACATCGTGAGATGATTAAATCAAGTTAATTAACATATCCATCACCTTACTATTATCATTTTTTGTGCTGGAAACATTTAAATCTACTCCTTCTGCAATTTTCAAGTATACAATGGCATGAATCTCTTTTTTAAAAAATCAGTTTGGAAGTTTGAGTTTTGCCTTACTACACAGAAACCTCTAGAGCCCAGTGATGCCAAGGGTAATAAAACCCTGTCGCTGAGAACAACACCTTCTTTCAAGTCCCTTAAAAGGAACTTGTAATGTATTTGTCTGATTAATTACTTCATGCTTTCTTCCTGTAGGCAGATACTGCAATGCTTTTCTCTGAAAAGAAAAATATTTCCAACTCTAATTGGCAATGATTGCTCACTCACACCTGAAGCTCAGCCTCCCGTGCCTCCGTTACTGCACTTGGCCCCAGCGGAATCTCCTCTTATCCTCACTTCAAACTCTAGTGAATATGTAGCACAACAGCCTGTGTGTCTTCCCCCTTTAAAAAACAGCTGCTTGGCTGGGAGCAGTGCTCATGCCTGTAATCCAGCAATTTGGGAGCCAAGGGAGAGATCAACTGCGGCCAGGAGTTCTGAGACTAGCTGAGGAAGGAAGGAAAAGAAATATTTACTAGTGCATTAGTTGTAAAGTGGCAATTTGGAAATAACCCAAATGTCTATCCATGTGAATGGATAAGCAAAGTGTAGTATATTCATCTAACATGCTATACTTAAACAGCCAGTGAAGTGAATAAACTGTAAGAATTCACATGAGTAAATCTCAAAAACAGAAAGTTGAATAAGAAAAGGAAGTTGCCAAATACAATGTATGCTAAAACACTATTTGTGTCAAATATTAAAACCATAAACAGCACAGGTTTTTTTTTTTTAAATAGGGCCTATATTTCAGTTTCATTCCTTTTAAAAGCATGTGAAGCAAACACAGCCTAAAACTGAGTTTTTATAAAGCATAAAGTTAATACTCTATACTTGTCTATATATCATGATAATATTTTAAGAAATAAAAAGAAGTGTCTCTTAAATTTACAAAAGAAAAAGAACAGAAAAGAAAGAAAAAGGCAGGAGTCAAACTTCATTGAGTTTACCAGCTCATAACAGATCTTTTAAATGCTCTTTAAAAGTTATTCTGTGCTGAGCAGGTGCCATACACAGTGTGAGCTCTTTTCAGTGCCCTGTGTCATTTCAGCCACGGGCCAGCTCCTCCAGGGCTGGGGTTTGCTGGCACACTTGCACCTACGGCTGCACACTGCACACCTCTACCCTATTAGTGTTCAGACTCATCCTCCTCGCCTATTCCACAGCTGTAGTGTCAGAGGAAGACAGACGATGTCTTTGTGTTTGAGCAACAGAAAACTAGGACTGTTGGGCTCATAAAAAGATAATTAAGTCTTTAACCATTATTGAATGTGGCAGGGGGAAAAAACACACAGCATTTATCCAGCCTTCTCAGAGGCCACCCTGGGAGGATGAACAGTTCTAGGAAACCTAAGGCCAGACAGGGATGGATTTAGACATCTTTACCTCTGGGATCTTCACAATGGACTGTATGTTTGTGTCCCCCTAAAATTCATATGTTGAAACCCTAATCTACTGTGGTGGTTTGAGGAGTTGTGGCCTTTGGGAGGTGATTAGGTCATGAGAATGCAGTCTCTTATAAAAGAGACCCCAGAGAGCTCTCTCGCCACTCTTGCTGCCATGCAAGGGCACGGCAGGAAGTGGACGGTCTGCAACCCGGAAGTCATCCCTCATCAGAACCCAGACGTGCTGGCACCCTCATCTCAGACGTCTAGCCTGCAGAACTGTTAGAAATAACTTTCTGTTGTTTGTAAGCCTCCCAATCTATGGTACTTTGTTACAGCAGTCCAAACTAAGACAGTTTTCTATCAAGATAGAACATTTTTCATCAACTCATTGTTTTTTTTACATCAACACATTCTCAAATTTTCCAAAGGCAGTTCCTCTAATGACACCCCTTTACTCACCTAACATAATGCGGAGCCCTCGCCTCTTTGTGCGCAATTTCAAGTCCTGTGTCATCTGACACATTGATCCTTTGCTCCATAGAACCTAGGTGTAAGTGGCCACAATGAAATACTTTTCTCACATTGTCCCCTCCAGTGTTAGTACCCTCCCAGCTCCTCTTTTCCCAGCCTTCCCCCACAATTCAGGATGTACAATTCTTCCTAGTAATCCAGAGCAGCTCATATCCCTTCCTCCTCAAAGCCTTCCCCAATGAAAGAAAAACTAAACTCTAGTTGCATTTTGCCTGGACATCTCACAAAACAATCTGTTTTGTGAATCAAAACAGATTTTGCATAATCCCAGCACTTTGGGAGGCCGAGGGGGGAAGATCACTTGAGACCAGGAATTCAAGACCAGCCTGGGCAACATAGGCAGACCCTGTTTCTTAAAAACAAAACAAAGCAAAACGAAACAGATTATTGCCATACATTATTATTATTCATTTTACATTTTTATCTTTCTGATTATACTATGAACAGAGGGAAGACAGAGTCTTGTTTATTTGTAAGTTATTCATATTGCCTAAAACAGAGCATATATTAATAAATGCTTAATAAAGCTTTGTTAAATGAGTATTTCTATCTTGACCCATCGGCAGTTCAGTCTGTTTCATTTTCACTTTAGCAGTTGGCATATGTTGGCCAATCTGCCGTGTAGAGAATCAAGATGAACCTTTTACTTTCTGGTGACCTAAATCAACCTGTTTATAGAAATCAGAGGACCCAGATGATGAAATAGTTAATATAGTCTTTTGACCAACAGTTCTCAGCTCTGGCTGTTGATTATAACCACTTGGGGAGCTTGAAAAAAATGCCAATATTGAGACCCCTTCTCTGATGCAGTAGATATGGGATGAGGCCTGGAAATGTGGAATTCTGAGAGTTCCCCAGGAAATTCACCCTCACACAGCCGCCCTGCACAGCCATTTGAACACACTGGGCTGAGGTCTGAGCACCCCCGCTGTGAAAGGAAGCATGAACAATGAATGCAGTAAGCAAAGGGAATGGCAACCCTTTTTGCATCAAAGACCACAAACTGCTTAAGCACCACCTTCCCAGCAGTTTTTATTCAAACGATGGGTGAGCTCATTCGAAGCACATCTTATCTATTTGTTAAAGCACTTACAGGAGTCTCTTAAATGCATAGGCAACTTCCACTTTCCCACTTCCCCTTGTCCTGTCAGCAGTTACTGTGTGCATTTGAAAGTCATAAAACTCCTTTCCTTATATTAAAAAAAAAAAGTTCCATAAACTATGTATCTACTAAAAGAATATGAGTACTGGACCATGTAGCAAGAAGCAAATATGGATACAAAATCATGCCCAGTGAAGAGTAGAATATAAAATAGTATTTAATGCAACTATATACAAAGTGATGCAAATATTGGGTACTTTTAATGGAATGTTTTTCAGCAATACAGTGCAACATACATGGGAGATTCAAATTTATGCTTAAAGTGCTTCATAACTCAGACATTCTCTATAAGGTTAATTTGGCCACCTAATGAGGGCATGTTATCATCAGCGTTTTATGACATTCTCCAAGCAAAAGCTCCTCTGCGGTTCTGTCTCAGATGAGCTTCTTCCTCAATGGCCCCATTTAGGTGATCTCCTGACTGTGGGCTCTTGGAAAGGTTTTAGTTCTGTGATTGATTTTTATCTTCCCCTTGAAAGTTCCCCATCTCCCTTTAGTGACATCACATCATCGGACAGCTCTGGAACTCCATTCTTGCTGATCTGTCAGCTGTGGGAGCTAATTCCTTGCAAACTGAGCATTTTTGTCAACTCGCCATGGTGAGGTGACACACGCTTTGCCTTAAGAATAAGTTCTTTAAGCTTGACAATTGTGTTTCCCTTTTGTCTTGGAGGGAAACAAAGTGGCAACCTTCATTTTTCACTCACAAAATGTGTGTTCTTAGAAAAGCAGGCATCAATGTAGTTACATTTTAAAATCTTTAAGCAACCTAGCTAGGAACCCTAAGATTATGTCATTGATAAGGGAATAGATTTTTCTAAATAAAATGACTGGCTTTAATTAACACTTAATAAATGTTATTTTTATGTGTTTTGCCTTGAAGCTGGGGTATAATCCATTTTAAGAATAATGTTCTCAAATGATCACTTAAGTGGATTCATAAACCTGATTTAATTCAAGTGGAATATGTTAGTGTTTCCAAGTTGATCTTCTCAACATGAGACTTCTTCAAAGAAAGCAGCAATAGAAATGTAAAGTTTTCCTTATTTTTTTCCATTGCCGATGAGAAAATCATGCTCAATATCCTGATGTCCACACAGCATTAATTAAAGGATGTCCTGTTGCTCTAGTTTGGGACTTTGAGATTTTCTTCAGCTTCCTGAGTTGCCATAACCTTAGTAAGCTTGGGTGAATTAAGTATCTACCTCACATGTATATGAATTAGATCAATTGCTATTGGTGCACTGTCATTGTTAATGACATAAATTCATTTATTCAAAGAGCATAGGTGGAATACTTACCATGTGCAAGACAAAGATGACTAACAAGATGTGGTTCCTCTCTCTTAAAGGTGCACAAATTGCCGGGGGGCCAAATCAAAGGGATGTGTTTGGAGACTTTAGCAATTTAGTCATTCACTCTATATGTCTTGAGACAAATGTTCTGCTGGTTGCTAAAGATAAATTGATAAATTGCATAGGCATGCTCCCTGCTTTCCTAGAATTTGAAGCCTACCAAAAGAAGCAAGTCCCTAAGTATCAATCATATAACTAACAAAATAATTGTGATCGGTAACAGGGAGAAAGACCTAATGTTCCCAGATTCTTGGGTCAGGACAGGTTATACAAATGGCCCAATAATTCCTTCCAAAACTCATATTCCCTGTGGATTTTCTCACTTTCCTGCCATCACTATAACTTCCTCTCCCTTCAAATCTCAGCCCAAACATGGATAAAATCTCCATTTTTTCCCCTGTTAGCAGAATAGTTTATTTTCAAAAGCTTACTATGAGCTAAAGTGGGTGAGAGGAAGAATAATTACCAAAATGGATTTGCAAATAGAATTTTAAAAAACAAGCTTCCAAAGTAAAGGTTTCTGATCCTAAAAATTCTCACATATCAGGGGGAAAAATTAGAAGATTGTTGAGACAACAAATAGAATCTGGAAGAAAATACAGTTGGGTCCTTATCTCATACCTTGGAACAAAATGCATTCTACATGTATCAACAATTCAAGCACAAAAAAAGAAACCATAAAAATATACAAAGAAAATTTGGGAAGTTTTGTTACAATCTTGAATCAAAAATAAAGACCTTTCTGAAGAATTATGAAACAAAACAGAAGCCATAAATTGTAGATGGATAAATTTGACTACAAAACAATGGAACCCATCCAGAGGGAAAACAAATTACTACAATCAAAAACCAAAACACAATGAAAAGCTAGAAAATAATATTTATATCTCAAATTATAAAAAATATACTTATTTATTTAATATAGATAAACTTTACAAATAAAAAAGCTAACAAGCAAATAGAAAAATAAAGGCTATCATCACAGTTTATAGTAAAGAAATGCATAAGGCTTATTAATAGATGAAAAATGCTCAGGCTTACTTATAAAAAGAGAAATACAGAGAGAGAGTGAGAGAGAAAGAGAGCAAGAGAGAAAGAGGAAAATGGCAAGTAAAGTTAAACCATTTTTGTGTCTCAACTTGATAAAGTATTTGATCATATACTATAATAGGCAAAAGTGTTGGCAAGCAGGCACTCTCATTCATAAGAGTTACAGTGCACACGGTTGGTGAAGATGTAAAATGCTATAGCCTCTATGGAAAACAGTATGGCAGATCCTCAAAATATTAAAAATAGAATTACCAGGTAATCCACCAATTGCACCCCTGGGTATATACTCAAAAGAATTGAAAGCAGGACTCTTGAAGAGATATTTGCACACCTCTATTCATAGCACCAGCGTCCACAATAGCCAAAGGTGGAAGCAACCCAAGCGTCCTTCAACAGATAAATGGATAAACAAAACAAAATGTGGTTTATACATACAATGAAATATTATTCAGCCTTAAAAAGGAAGGAAAATTCTGACACATGCTACAGTATAAATTAACCTTGAGGACATTATGCTAAATGAAATAAGCCAGTCACAAAAACGACAAATACTGTATGTTTCCACTTATATGAGGTACCTAGAGTAGTCAGATTCGTAGAGACAGAAAGTAGAACGGTACTTGCAAGGGGAAGGGGGAGCCAGGGAGTTGTTTAATGGAGACAGAGCTTCAGTTTTACATGAAGGAAAAGTTCTGGACACTCTCACACAACAATGTGAATACACTTAACACTACTGAACTGGATGCTTAAAATGGTTAAGATGGTAAATTTTATGTTATGCATTTTTACTGCGATAAAAATTTTTTTAAAGATTTTAAAAAAGAGTAGGAATGTAAATTGATATAACTTCTGTGAAGAATAATTTAGCAAATATCTATGTATAGATATATAATATATTAAAGGAAATCTACTTAAAACTATATAATATCTATAAGATTCTAAATTCATACACCCTTTGACTCAATAATTCCACTTTTAGAAATTTAAACTACAAATATACTCACATATGTACAAAATTAGGTACCTAAAAGGATATCCACTGCAATATGGTTTAAAATAACATAAGACTAGAAACCATGTAAGAAGTCATCTGTGGAGCTATTAAATACATTTGAAAAATTTATTTAAATATCCTGTCTTTGAAACCATTCCACAATAATGTATATGAGCCGTGGTACACCCATAAAATGTTAAAAGAAAAAAAAGAATTTTTCGGCCGGGCGCAGTGGTTAATCCTAGCACTCTGGGAGGCCGAGGCGAGTGGATTGCTCGAGGTCAGGAGTTCAAAACCGCCTGAGCAAGAGAGAGACCGCTTCTTTATTAAATAGAAAAAAATTAATGGCCAACTATATAGAAAATTAGCAGGCATGGTGGGACGCATGCTCTGTGTCCCATCTACTCGAAGGCTGAGGCAGCAGGATTGCTTGAGCCCAGGAGATTGGGTTGTTGTGAGTAGGCTGTGCATGGCACTCACTCTAGCCTGGTCAGCAAAGCGAGATTCTGTCTCAAAAAAAAAAATTAAAAAGAAAAAAAGAAGTTTTATTCATCATTTTTATCAAATGATCCTAATTATATAGGTAAAAGGAAAAAATCAAGGCACAAGGATGTGTTTACAGAATGCTACAGTAATGGGGGAAAATGAAGATATAATTATATCTTTGTATATGCACATCTCTATCAAATATCAGAAGAAAACTGGATAACTGGTTCTACAGTACAAGAATGAGACGAAGATATACTTCTTCATATGTGTATTTTTTGGTACCACTTTAATTTTGCTACACAGATTTTGTGTTTGGATCATAATTAGGATATTGGGTTCCAAATATCCTAATCCTAAGAAAATTTTTGCTGCCAAAAGTGGTTGCTTTGCCTGCATGCCTTCCTCTCAACTTCCTACCTGGACTTTCAGCCTCGTCCTCACAGGGGAGGGACTTGTCTCATCAAGTCACAGCAGTTTACCCATCCTTTTGTTCCTCTTCTGGAACAAGGCAAATCCTTTTCAATGGCAATTGACTTAATTAAGCACACAATAATAAGGGGTCATGCGAAAGCTAGCTTTTCAGTTTAACTAATTATGTAATAATACCTTACTATTTATAACAGGGATGAAAATTTACATTGTTTAGTGTAAGATGAAAATCATTTTTTAAATATTCATTTTTATTTTCACAACGAATCTGTAATCAATATTTTAATTGCTTTTCAATTACTTTGGCTGTAGGGATCAATATTTCTTGAATGCACATACGTGAAATAGGACTGTGAGGGAGCCGGGTTTCATATGGGTTGTATATGGTAAATAATATTACATTCTCTGATACACCATAACATCATGAAAGATATTGTTAGTAGCCGCAATGGTCATCAACTCAAATTCTTTCTCATCATAATCAGTTAACATTATTTATATTTAAATTAGTGGTCAAAAAGAGAGGATTAAGCGTAATATCAAAATTGCAAGGAATATCACAAGGATAAATATATAATTAAATATCAAACACTGGTAGAAGGAATTAGCTAAAATGAGTAAATTCTCAACTTCACATAGAAGAGTCAACATATATTGTCTAATTAGAAGTCAAGAAATAGCTGTGTAAACAGACATTCGATAGACCACTTACGTAGAGAACCCAGTAGAATAAAGCCAGAAATTATTGATGAGAAGTAGAGCAGAGACTGCTGTTCCTATTATAAGCTTTTCTTTATTCTTAGTGTATTCATTTCATGTGCATATTTTTCTTTGATAAAATTTTGAAGCAGTCACAATTTTCTATTGACAAAGAGTATAAGCCTACAACTGGACCAACCATGATAAGATACCTTCAAAATAGATGAATAAAATTAATTTAATTTAAAATTTGAGACATACACTCTATCCTTAAGGAGCTCATGTTCTCATAGAAACAACAGTATTTGAATTCATGTGAACACACACACTTGTATGTATGTACATATGTATACATTTATGTGTGTGTGTGTGTGTGTGTTTGTGTGTATTCATGAAGAAACCTGTGTGTGTGCGTCCATATATGTAGAACTAAAATGGAATGTTTACCCTAAAATCAAAGTCTGGGAAAAAATAGTAAAAATAAAATAATAAATTTTCTTTTTAAAATGGAATATTGTTCAGGGGAAGAGGAGCAAGACATGGGAGAATCAAAGGGGACTTCATTGAACGCTGGCCCTAAAGACTCTGGACAGGAAGGGGAAGTGGAGGGTGATTATTCTAGACAGGAAGTTGTGGTATAAAGGAGGGAGGGCGCCTGACATGTCTGACAGTGAGGTGAAAAAACCGACTAGAGCTGAGTGGGACATAGCAAATGAGATTGGCAGGAGAGCCTGGGAGGGAGCGGGACCAGATTACACAGCTGCACCATCCAGAGGCCCTGGTGGAATAGGATACAAGTGCCACTAGGACACCTGAGTGAGGTTGGTCTGACAACGCGGAGAAGATATTACCACTAGGAGGGAGTCCAGGGGCGCTGGTAAGTGGTGCGAGTGATGATCTGGACAAAGAGGAGGAAGAGAAATGGAGAGAGACACCCCCAGCCCCCATGACCCTGGTAGTCAGTAGACCCCAGAAAGCAATTCAGACTCCCCTATTCTTGTAGAGCTAAATTGCGGAGCTCTGATGCCAACAAAGGCGATATTCCCCACGCTTCCTGCGGACAGATGCCCCGGTGTCACGCTGGACGGAACTATAAACTCGTGCATCACCTAATGACATTCTGAGCAATGCGTCATGAGGTGATTTCATCATCGTGTGAACTTCACAGCGAGCACTCACACAAACCTAGACAGGGCAGCCTGTTCACCTGGGCTACAACCCGTGTAGCATGTCACTGTGCTCAGTACTGCAGGCAATTGTAACATAGTGGTTATTTTTGTATCTAAGCATATCTAAATATGCAAAAGGTACAGTAAGAATACAGCATCATACTCTCATGGGACCACTGTCAGTATATGGGGTCCCTCATTGACAGAAACGTTGTGTAGTGTGTCGCTGTACTTGTGAAAGGTGGGAAGCGGAAACTAGCTGACGTGGATGATCAGTACGATAGGTGAGAAGTTTTTGTTGTTGGTTAGATGCACAAAGAATACTGGCAGAGGTGGGCAGGCACGGCTTCAAACCCAGCTCCGCCACTCACCAGTCCGTATCATTGTTACTTACCCTCTCTGGGCTGCAGCTCACTCATTTATAAAATGGTGGGAATAACAACTTCCTCCAAGGAAGACTGGGAAATTTGCATGAGAAAAGGCGAACAAAGCACCTGGTTTAAGGCGCTCAACAGATCTGACATTCCCTTCCCCAGCGCCCTCTGCTGTGTTCTGCCCAGCCACGCCTCCGTCTACACTGCCCTTGTGTTTCCCAGGATCTGACTCCGCCCCCGGCTCCAGGTTCCATTCTCCTGGATGAGCACGTGACCCGATTCAGACCAAGGAAAATTAGGCCCAGGAGTTTTGTTCCAACTGCTGGGGGGAAAGAAGCCACTTTTCCAGCAGAAAGGTCCTGGCAGCCGTGGTCCCAACACACGGAGTTCAAGGAGGAAGCAATCACAGGGGAGAACAGACGGAATGATGGAAACATCCACACCTATTAAGGAGACCCTGGATGCAGCTATCCCTGTGGGCAGAACTGTCTCTGGATTTTTCTGTAATGGAGCCAATAAATTCCTTTTCTTATCTTGGTTTGGACTTTTCTGGCATTTGCAGATCCATGAGCCTTAACTGATACGGCTTCTTCTGCCACTAGATCACTACAATTAAAGTTCTAGTGTGGGGGAGAAAAAAAAAAAGGAGTTTTCCTGTCTTCCCTCTTCCCAGCAATAGAGCAACACGCAGAAGCAGCTTGCCAAATTGCTCGAATTTACCTTCCCAAATGAGCACCTCTAGATCCCACTGGAAGCAAGTCCGCCTCGTGTCCAAAATAACCACCTGCTTTTCTCGAAGGGGTAGGCACAGTTCTCGCTCTTTGCTCATCGCGTCTCTGCGTCGCAGCCCTCCCCGCTCGGTTTCCCAGTCGGCGAAGGTACCCATATGGACACCCTGCTTCTAGCATCTTCCTTCCCTTTGCAGTCTTTTCACCCTGCAGTCTATGGCCTCAGTTGCAACTGCCATACGTTTCCTCTCCTCCTCCATATTTCGGGGCCGGAAGACGTTTGTTAAACATTTGCTCCCAACACCTACCAGTGGATCTTCTTTTATTAGGGAGGGAGCTCTGTGTGGTGGCGAGAGGGTTTCAGTCAACCTTGAATTTATAAATAGCTAACACTCCAATTGGTTGTGAGCCTGGCAGAACGGGTAACATATGCATGCCCCCCATTTGAGTGGGCCTAGCTTATGTTATGTTGAGCAATTTTTTTTTCTAGAAAGGAATAAAAATTAAATTATGACAAAATGCCTTAATTCCCTTTTATTTGTCTCAGGCGCTAGTTTTTAATCATGCACTTCATAACTGTAATCAAAATCCCCATCATGTGAAGACAAATAGCAAATCTCTATAGAAGTGAGCTGCACAAAATACGTTTGTACCCTGTAATTCGTTACAACATATTAAAATTGTAGTTTGGGTTTTCATTTCCCCTAAACCCCTGAAATAAAAACAAAATGACAAAACATAAAGCAAGATGAATCCTTAAGAAGGGAGAAAATTTTTTACCAAATTTATTTTCCCCTTTCCCTTCCTTAAAAAATATCATAAATCCTTTTGAAAGTCTAGCCAACCTTGCTGTAATCTCTGGTAATCAGAAACAGAAAGAGGCTGAACAAATAAGATTCGCCGATGCACCTCACCTTGTCTATCCATTTCAGCCTCCTATCACACAAAAAATTCATAACTCCTAGGGGTAGCCAACTGGACTGACATTGGATTTTTTCCTCCATTCTTGGCCCTTTCAGATCACGAGGAAGAGATGAAATCAGAGAAACACAGAAAGAAGGAAGGGATCATTGTTGTAGGCCTGGATAACTTGCTGTCTCCAAACTGAAAAATTATTTCCTGGGCAGGAGACCTAACTGAACTGAGCACCGATAAGCTCAAAAAAGAGCTTAAAAACAGACCTAGAGGAGAGCTACCAACAGCTGAACCGTTTCTATGCCAATTGGGGGAAAATTCTCCACTGGGGGGAGAAATTTTCCCTTTTTTATTTCTTTCAACAATTGCTCTTCCTCATACTCTCAGAGCACTTTATACTTATCAAAGTGCTTTTAGAACTACCTGAAAGTTAGCTGTGCCTGTAATCATGATCTGCTCAATGCTTAGAGTCACCCAGCTAGTTAGTGACCAAGCTGAGACAAGCGTCTGGTCTCCAGCCCCACTCCAGTGGACATTCTCCAAGATCCTGGTGTTTCTGTAAAGCACTGGCAATGTTTCCAGAGATTGTCTCTTGGGTGTTGTGCGCCCACCATTCTAATAGCTGTCTTTCACAGGAGTCCTCAAATATGACGAGAATGACAAAAGGGGAGAACAGGAACAAACCAAATAGTCTCCTGGAAAGAGCATGGGCTCAGAGTTCAGACGACCCAGGTCATAATGGTGTTACGAGGCTGGTGAACATCACATTCTCTTTGCTTTTCTTTGCTCAGCTTTAAATTGAGAGTCTACTGTCTCTTCTCTATCTCATAAAGAATGACCAAAGGACAAAGGACACAACCTTAAGGACCATTCCAAAGGCCATTTTTTGACTATTATTAAATTTATGGTTTAGCAGCCGGAGACTCAAACCAAAGGGCAGTCTTTATGTGCAAGAGCATAAAAATAAAGTTTTAATGTAGGCTCATCGTATTACTACTTATGAAAATAAAAACTGTAGGTCCTTCAATTCTCAAGACAAAGCCATATTTTTTTGTTCCTATATTTTAATGCTAAAACCCACTGATGTCCCAGCAGGTGATGTATCTTCTAATTATTCTTAACCGGACTTCTGTTCTCATTACTAATCATTGGCTTAATTAAGGCTCCTACCTGAGACATTTTCAGCACAAATGCAAAATTTGTGAAATTGAAATATATTCAGGAGCTATAATCATTCTTCAATGTATGACCAAGTAATGGCCAAGTAATGAAACAGATCCTCAAACAATTAGCCTTAAAAATAGTCATATGTTTTAAAAAAAAAAAAAAAAAAGTCCTATGTACTGGGATGCAATTTGTGAATGTGCCAGGTTGTAAAAATTAGTGATATTTGGTATTTTGGCCCTAAGAAAAATTTAAGAAATGAAGTTATCAAAATCTAAGTGACTTCAAATCCATTTGAGAAATAAACAGACTATAAATAAATGCATAGAATACACACAATATATCAAAATGAATTCCCTTCTGGACTTCCCTATTTCTGTCAGTTCTTTTTTCACAACAGTTCCTGACTCTGCAATCTGCTCGCCTCTCCCACCCCCACCCACCCACCACCCTCCTGGTTTACGCGGCCTCACCCCTGTGAGTGTGACTCCATGCCTAATAGCTCAGAATCTGTAGTTGAGTCGCCTGAATTCAGACTCCAGCTCTGCCTCTTACCGTGTAACCTTGCTCATGTTAGGTAACTTTCCCTAGTCTTCATTTCTTTATCATCAACTGGAGATAATAATAGTATCTACCCCATAGGATCTTTGTAAACAAATGAAACCTGTGTATCACAACACCTGATACAGGAAAAGGGATCAAAAATTATAATTATTGTTGTATTGTAGTGTAGGTCGGGGTGGTTCATGCTTAGAGTCTTTGTTGGCATTTTTGTCTTCAATCTCTGTCTGTTCCAATCCCTATGGGGCATTTTTGCTAGACTCGCTCTCTTACAAAATCCATATGATTTTTAGGCCATTGAGCAGGTGGCAGCAGAGACAAGGGCCACAGGCGCCATCTTTGGGCCATCTCATCTCCCTGGAAACACAGACAATGAATCATCGAGGACTCAAGCCGACAATAGTGGGGCAATAGTTGTCAAGGTAGAGCTGAGCCCACCTCCTACACCCCCAGCCCACCTGTGCCCTGCCTGTCTCTGGCCCTAGCTCAGGTCCTTGGACCAGGATTGTGCCTCTTAATTGACTTCACAACAATCAGCCCAGACTGTCACATCACCATATTAACCTGTTCTTAATGAAGACCTCCTAAATAGTCATTTTATTTATTTATTTATTTTTATTTAAACATATTTTTAATTTGTACAAATGTATGGGGTGCATGTGCAATTTTGTTACATGCACAGATTGCCTAGTCATCAAGAGAGGGCTTTTAGGGTATCTATCACCTGAATAATGTAGACTGTTCCCAATAACTAATTTCTCATCAACCACCCCCCCTCAACTCCTCACCCAAACTAGTCATTTCAGAATTGGATTAGAACCTGAAGCAGTCTACACAGAACTGTAAACCCAATGCATATTACAACCCCTTCCTGAGTAAGGTTTCTTCTAATTTTATTTATGCTTCTAAAATAAGCCATTTATGGCCAAGTGTGGTGGCTCAGCCTATAATTTCAGCACACTGGGAGGCCAAGGAGAGGGAGGATCACTTGAGGCCAGGAGTTCGAGACCAGTCTGGGCACTATAGCAAGATCCCATCTCTACAAAAAACAAGAAAAAAAAAAACAAAACTGGCCAGGCATGGTGGTGCTCGCCTGTAGTCCCAGCTACTTGGGAGGCTGATGGGGGAGGATCACTTGATCTTAGGAGTTTGAGGCTGCACTGAGCTATGATCAAGCCACTGTACTCCAACCAGGGCAACAGAGAAAAACCCTGTCTCAAAAAAAAAAAAAAAAGTAGAAATAAAAAATAAAATAAGCCATTTCCCCCAAAAGATAGTGTCATAGATTGAAAGAGCCAAAATGTGTGCCAGAGATCTCCTCTGGCCCGCTTTATTTTAGAGATGAGGAGACTTGTGCTGCAATAAGGTTATGATTCTTTTGGCATCACAGTAATTAGCCCAGGAAAAGTCCCTCTTGGTGGTTGTGCACATACAGACCTGTATCTTCCATGATGGTTACATGCAGAAAGTGGATGTCTTGTATGAAAATTCTCACTCCTTTTACAGGACAGTGAATATATTAATAGAATAAGGTTCCAATCTTATCTCTTAGTCCCGCTTCTGTTTACTGTCATTGTTTTTAAATGGATTTACAAAGTCTAGCAGAGGCTCCAAAGTTATACTACCTGGTTATTGTAGTATTTCCCCATTATTGCTATTTTTTCATTCTTAAAGTTATAACAACCATTTTGCCTTATAAAAATATATTAAAATATTTTTACATAAGCTGCATATATTTTTTACATAGGGAGATATTATTCACAGTATTATGGTGGGTGAAAAGAGTTTGTAGAATAATATGTATAGTTTGATCTCATATCCATTTGTTTTTGCATAATATAAAATCTAGGAGATTA